AGCACCTGCCGCAACGTGAATAAACCGTTTATACAACCACATCCTGGGCGGAAGCCTGGCTGCTCCTCCCGGAGCCTTTGGCTCAATAGCCTGACCCACAAAACAGTGCGTGTTTGGAAGTTTGCTTGAGGGACTCCACTCGGAGCCTTTGGCTTAATAGCCTGACCCAAAAGACAGTGGGGAGAAGGTCCAGCTCGGGAATGTGATTGCAGAGACAGATTGGGATCTGCTTGACAGGCGTCACACGCAGCTTTTGAGGTACTGGAACGATTCATATATGTTTTGTGACCGTAGTAGGATACACCTGCGACCACGGCTGGACGCAGGTATTTTTTGGCGGGTTTGCACCAATGTGACTAGGGGTTGCCTAGCTTGAGGTGGGCAGTAGCAAACCATTGAGCACCTGGAGGTGCCCTCTCACCGTCAGAGACAATGCGTGGCGCTCGTGCTCTACGCCAATCGAGCTGTGAGCTTATAACCCGTAGACCTGTTGTCTGCCATGGCTAGGTTTTACGGGAAGAGAGCCGTCGACCACTTTCTAACCTCCGAAGAGGAAGGAGTAGGATACTGACAGGAGAACGACTCGGGTCCTCAGCAAAATCCTTCGATTAAATGAACACCCGAAAGGCAGCGGGTCTAGCACATGGTCGGCTCACTGACTAATGCGGATTGGTGTCCTGGAGCTTAGCAGGTAAAAGGAGGTAACCCAAATCCCACGCAGCGGCCGCCACAAAGAGACGAGCAAGACATGCGCAAATGGCACAACGCTAGCAGCAGTGGATGGATCATCTGTCAAAATCTAGCCCCACCAGCCTCAGCGGCATCCGGTTTCGGATTTGCTTCACTGTGTCGGCCCGTGGCCTAGAGTTAAAGAGCTTTTCTCATAATTTTGCGGCACGGGTTCTAGCCTGCGTACGTGTGTGCATCCGCGCAGTATACTCAACCCGCATGCGACTGGGGGTAGTCGCTAAACAAATCCATGACTTTCTGTTTCCGATCAAAGAAGCTGTGTACTCAGAAGCTTATGACTCGATTGACAGTATCGTTAGGAGTCACTTTGCTGCGTTCGCCTTGGAGGGGTACCTCTGGGCCGTTCGACCGCTATGCGCCACGGCATCGACACGTGATCCGTAGGCCCTATTGCTCAAAGTCTAAAGCGGCTCCCGCTACAATACCGGGAGGAGGGACTGGTGTATTTGATAGATGAAATTCTCGAGGGGAACAGCATCCTATTATCAAACTTACCATTGGCGTCCCCTGTCGTGTTGGTTAAAAAGTAAAACGGGTCGCTCAGATTTTGCATGGAGTATCGTAAACTGAGAGCGGTTATTAGAAAAGACTGCTTTCCGTTGCCACGCATTGACGATACACTCGTAGCTTTAAATGGCTCACACTGGTTTTTCACGCTGGACCTTGCATCTGGGTACTGACAAATAGAAGTGAGCCCACGCGATCGTGCGGAGACCGTCTTTTCGCACCCCACTGTACAAGTTTCAAACGGTGCACTTCAGTTCAGTGAACGCCCGGCCACTTTTCAGCGCCTCATACAAGTGGTCCTGAGGCCCCTAACAATATGCAAATATTTAGTTTACCTAGACGACTTCATCATCCATGTACGCACCCTAAACGAGCTTGTGCGTAACCTCGACGGGGATATATATATATATATGTATAATGTATATATATGCATTATATATATATATGTATATATATATATATATACTCACAATCTGCTAACAGACGTGCCATCAGAATCATGGCAGAAGCAAAAATTAATGCGGAAACACGAAATGCGATAAAAAGGGGAAAACGATTTTTTTGTTTTATTCACGCTGTTTTGGTTTTTTGTTTGTGTGGATTAAAGGGGGCAAAATGGCAGAACAGCATTGCCGCCACAGATGTCTGTTGTGGGCCATGACATCCAATGTTTCCAACCACTGAGATTGCGCATCTCGTGGTCCCGAACCGGGTAGACGGACTGGTCCGACTGCTGAAGAACTTTAGGTTGCCTTCTTCATGCTCCTTCTCCATCTCATTGGCTGTCCACCGCGGCATTTTTTCCATTCGCTCCTTGGGATTGCAACTAGCGCTCGACGTGCAAGGCGATGAGCTGGCATGCGCAAAACGTGCCCGAGCCAACGCATGCGATGTCGGAGAATAACCTTCGGAAGACGGGCACTACTTGCTCCAAGCACTCATTCTCGGACCTCTGCGTTGCTTACGTGGTGTTGCCACCACACCCGAGCAATCCTTCGTAGACAGCGATTGTCGAGGACTGACAGCCGTTTCATGTCTTCCGAGCGAATGGGCCGTCTCACAGCTATACAAGAGCACGGACGCAAACATTGTACACCCTGCCCTTGAGCTTGAGACTGACATCACGACGACGCCATAGGTGTCTCAGTTTGCTGAACGCAATGCTAGCCTTTGCAATCCGTTGTGAGACTTCATCTCCAACGCCGCCACCAGCCATGATGCAACTCCATAGATAAGTAAAGCAAGGGATTTGCTCCTCGAGGGGGTACTTCAAAGTCTAACTGAGGCAGGCTTACTATTGAGCCCAGAGAACTGTCAGCTGCTTAGGAAGCAAGTTACTTTCCTCGGACACGTCATCTCTCCATCTAGTGTTCAAAGTGACCCTAAGAAGATTACAGATATCCAGACTTGGCCGCGCCTACATCAGCAGAGTATACACGGAGGTTTCTTGGTCTGGCTTTGTACTACAGACGTTTTGTCCGGAACTTTGCGGATCTTACAGGGCCGTTGCATGGCCTCACAGGGAAAGGTAGACGTTTTCAGTTGACGGCACAGTGTCGCGAAACATTTGCTACACCGACAAGCATTGACCAGTTCACCTGTTTTTTTCCGGATACATCACTAACAGCGGTTTATTTTGTGCTGGATACAGATGCAAGCGACATTGGAATCGGGGCAGTGTTATCTCAGCTCGGATGCGATGGGTTAGAACATGTGCGTGCCTACGCTAGTCGGTCTTTATCAAAGCAGGAGAGGAAATACTGTACCACGCAGAAGGAAAAGCTCTTTGCTTCGACTTGTACTAAACATTTTCGACACTTCCTATTGGACGTGGTTTCATGTTAAGGACAGACCATCAACCGTTAAAGCAGTTGCATAGTTTTCCGGATCCGGTGGGACAAGTTGCTCGGTGGCAAGAACAACTCCAAGAGTACGATTTTGAGTGTAAACATCGGCCGGAGCGGCAGTACATAAACGCAGACGCTCTTCCTCGGTGCGGCGGGAAGCACCAGGTCGGTTGCCCTACTTGCGCGGTAGATGCATTGTCTCATAAACTATGAATCCACGGAATGGACAGTAGTGAATAAAACGCATCCAGAGCTTCAACTAATCTGCCAGCGGTTGTGTGCAGATGGCGTTGAGCAATGGAAGGAAATGGTGGAGTCGAGCTGGGAGACCTACTGCGCCTGGTCAGCATGGCCGCGCCTAACCGTACATGATGAAATACTTTATTATCAATACGGTACCGCATACTCTAAGCGCATAGTGGTCACACAGTCGAAAATCAACAAAGTTCTACAGCGTTTACACGCAGAATTGGGACAGCTCAACGAAAGATAAACCATGCTGTCAGTCAGCGTTTTTGATGGCCAGTGCAGTGAACGGATCTTGTCAACTTCTGTAAAAGTTGCCAGGACTGTCTACGTGCAAAGCCACCTCAGCGATCACACCGAGCACCGCTGCAGCACATGACCACAGGTTATACAAACCAGACCGTGGCGGTGGACCTAATAAATTCTCTACCGGAAACACTTAGAGGTAACCGATATATCTTGGTCATGGTCAATCACTTTACCAAGTGGTGTGAGGTTACACCTATACCAAGCGCCGATGCAACGGTAGTGACACGTAACGTCTTTGCACAATGGATCGCACGCTGGAGGCCCCAGAATAGTTGCGTTCTGATCGCGGTTCTAATTTCTTAAGCGTTATTGTTTTGGAATTGTGCGGTCTACTCGGCATTCGAAAGTCGCTCACTACGGCGTACCATCCGCAGAGCAATGGTGTAGTTGAACGTACTAATCGTTCACTAATAGCCATATTGAAGGCCACCAATGCATACAGCGTGCGGGAGTGGGACCACGCTTTGCCCAATTGCTTTCCGGTTTATCGCTCTACCGTCTACGCCCCAACGTCCCACTCCCCGCAATATCTGGTCACTGGGAGGGAGATACACCTACCAATTGACCTTACAGTGCCACGATTGACGCCCGTTCCTCTATTAGCCACCCAGTACGCCCGGATAGAACGTGGATATTGTCTGTCAAACGCCCAGCGCCACCAAAAAGACTACGACAAGCGAGTCGAAGGTTCATCCCTGCAGCCGAGGCAGTCTATTTGCATATGCCAGTGCTTCCACCGGGTCGTCCTGTAAAACTGCATATAAAGTGGTCAGAACCTTTCATCATCGAAGTGGTCTACAGTGACAGTACGTATCGCATATTCGAAGCCACACGAAACGTACAGTCTTCATTTGTGTTCCACTTCAATAGATTGAAGCCGGCGACGCTTAGCTCGGTGCACCAAGCCACGTCTAGCAACACCGAGGAATTGACCCCGACGCTACGCAGCACATGGAGATAGGCAGCCACCCTACCGGATCATTTCAACAGCAGCACACGAGCGTTGTGGACAACGCTCAGCTTTTGGGAGGAGATAATGTAACGTAATCGATGATATCTGTAACTGAATTCCATAAGGCTTTTGTGTTAATTCCCATTTCAGACACAGGTCATGCTGATCGACTTCATTCAACTTGGGAGGAACGTTGAACACGAATTGCTGTTGTTGTTGCTTGTTGTAACCTTTTTGTTTTACTGTGCTGTACACTTTTGTGCTCGCGGGTTGTCTTCACATACTTTGTGACATGTTCCTTCCTCATTCTTACCTAGATCGACTCCCACCACTGGGTTTAATCGCTCGTTGTGTAATAATCTCAAGCATCTTGTATTCTTCCCTTTCAGCACATCGGATCTACTTCTGTTCCTACTAAGACGATCGCACGTTACACATCATGGTGGACGATCTGGCTACGTTTAATCGTTTGGTGCGCTTGTTTTCCCGTAAATTTGCGGACATGGAGGAGGATGTGAAGAACTTTCAACGCGCAACTGCGACGTCTTTTTACAAGCGGACAGTGATTACTCGAAATCGGTACAAACGTATGACGGGGGAGGATTTGCCTGAGGGTTATCCATACCATTATGTGCAATACCGTTGTGTTCATGGTAGACGGAATAACGTTCGTGGTAAACGGTATGCGTCTGATTGTTAATGCCATAAATTGCCCTAACAGTTATAGGATGCTGGACTGCAAAGCGAGGTTCTCCTTCGTGCTGAAAGGCGATTATTACGAGCGAGGGGAAATCTGTCTTCGGCATAATCATGCTTTTCAATTGGGTAATCCATGGCAGTATCCGCAGAATAGACACTTGACGGAGGCTGAGGAGGCAGAGGTAGTGAGCCTGATGTCAGTATTTAAAAGCACCCGTGAGATTCGTCGTTACATATCACGGAAGTATGGGCGAGTATTGACGTTGGACGACATTAAGACGGTGACAAGACGTCACCGGAAGCGGCAGGCTGGGGAGGTATGCGAGGTGACGGAATTGTTGGAGAAGAACGGCACATGCCGAGTAGTGAAGGAGGGAGGCATTATTAGATATGCTTTCTTCGTGCCGTCGTCCATGGAGTCAATAGCCGCGCGCTACTGCGAGGTGTTGTTGGCGGATGCGACCCACCAATTGAATTATGGTGGCTATATACTGTGGCATTGTATGTTGATAGATGTTACGGGTATTGCGTATTCATTCTTTTACGCATTGTTACCCGATGAAACGGTGCACAGTTACAGGCAAGCGGTGGACGCTATGAAGGAGATGTTACCTAGCACGGCGTTAGTGCAAACACTTGTGATAGACAAGTGTATGGCGCAGATTGGCGCTCTAAAGTCCGCATATCCCAACGCGGCGGTCATATTTTCTCGTTTTCACGTGATGAGGGATATGTATCGACGCTGTGCACATCTTGTGGGTGTAGGCCCAGGAGTGCGGAACATTCTGCGGCAATGGTTGATGTTTTTGATATACACTCGTGATGGCGAGCATTTCGACAGGATACTGCGGGCGATTGCAGAAAAGAGTGATGAATTATACAGATACGTGCAACTTACCTGGCTACCGTGGGCATCTTCATGGGCGGCTCATCGTCAGCGCGCCGTTTGTTTGTTCGGTTGCGCTTCAACGAACCGTGTGGAGAATGAAAATAAATATCTGAAGAAGAAGTTGACGCAGCAGTCCTCCCTTAAATCGCTGTTCACTGTGATTATTGAACGCACGAGTTCATTGATGCAAGGTAGGCAAATGGCGCTTGGAAGATACAGTGCAACGCCATATATTCCACCTGTGGAGTTTTCCCTTGCCGCATCCATTCTGATTCGCTTTCTTCCTTACGCTCGTAAGCAACTGTTGAGGCACTTGAGAAGCGCGGGTATAACATCCTTGCATGATGCGGGTACGCACTGGGTGGTAGACTGCACCCGTGGTTCAAAGAGACGGCGCTACCAAGTGACTGCAGACTCCTGCGAATGTGAATTTCATCTTCAGTGGCGTATGCCATGTGCACATCTGTGCCATGTGACTGCCAGGAAAGGATTGCCCATGGCTAGTATTGTAACCAATTGCAGATGGAATGCCCCATGCAGTCGGCCGGTTGACGTGTCCCCGGAAGCAGCAGGTCTAAGTGATGTGACATTCGAAGAAGCTGACGATGTGCTTGAGTTACGTGCGATGGACCGGGTGACTAAACTTCGCAAGGCGGAGGAGGTGATGACAGAATTGAAAACTCAGATTTGCAGCCTTGGTTCGACGCAGTATGACGCGGTGTTGAAGAGTCTGAAGAGATTTGCCGAGCTGTTGTCAACGCATAGTGATGTGTCTTTATACTGCACTACACAGCAGTGTAGTGAACCTTTTCGGCTTGACCAAGATGACCAGTACCAGCGGTTAATGGGAAGCGCGGGCCGCAACATGGTGAGATATGGGTTCCCCAATAAGGAGACATGTATGCCTAGCACAAGCTCCGTGCAGCATGATGGTGAAGCAAGTGACATCGCTGGGAATCTTTCCTCACCGGGCCACATCGGGAACGTTGGAAAGACGGTGTATGTTGGCTCCGCCAAACGGAAATCTCCCATTGCATTGCGAGTGACGGAGGTTCCAACGGACTCCATGCCGGTACCTGCATTAAAAGTTAGACATATAAGCACCACCATCACGTCGAGTGGTTCGAAGGTCGATAAAACGAACCGGTTTGCGCGGATGACGGAGACATCGGTTTCCGATGTATGCGCTTTCTGTCTACGAGAGAAAGACGAAGCATCCGTCGGTGTTGCAGTTCCGTGGTTGATGTGTGACGTGTGCGGACGTTGGTTCCATCGGACCTGTGCGGGCTATTATGGGGAAGAAGAATTCACATGTGTGTACTGCGAGCAGTAAATTGAAAGAGACAATTGGACATAGACGTCTATGATAATCAGGACCAACAGGTAAGCGATACGAGAATGCATTGTGTAATTGAGATGTTCTTTTCAGTGAATCGTGCGAGCACCATTTCTCACTGTACCTTCATCTTTGAACAACCTTTTAGGGACGCGCTGCATGCACTTCAATATCCCCTACAATGAATTTCCCCTGAAGGCTACATGCATGCAATGCGTGTTCTGCGCTTGGACACACCTCGCTGACAGGTACGATAATATCGCTTTGGTGTGCTTTTATTGTAGACAGGGTGCAAGGTAATCCGCATGACTTGTGTGTTACTCACGGCTGTTGGCCGGTTTAGCGCCATAGGGAAGTAAGTCACGTGGTGTCCCTTATCACTCTGTGACATGATCACTTTATTTGCATAACTTTGCTTTCAGTGTCTCACACGACTGCCGGTATGAAAGCGTCCTAGGCTTGCAGTCTTATGATGGCACTATCTTAACGTGGCCACCAGCAACGCAATAACAGCAACGTACATGAGCCACTGTCGTGATGGAACCTTCCTACACGAGCAGGAATGCATGAGGGCGGCACTAGGCGGAAAGTACATCCCCACAATCGGTTGGCAATTCTTGCGTATTCGAACAGCATCGCGTCGTCATACAACACATAGTGGTACCATAAGTTGCGAGCCTGAGTGTGCAATTCATGGAGCAAAAGGGTGGTGCTGCATACAATTACTCAATGTGTGTACAATGGTGAAGGGAAGAACGGTTGTGATCTCGATGAATCACCATTGATTGCGCCATAGCCACGTTTGTTGGTTGCACTCCGTTCCTGATAGGCTGGTGGTACTTGCTGCAGGATCATACATTATACACGTTAGTTAGATGTGTAAAACACCTCAGCTATTGTGATACAATACATGAAAGAAAGAAGGAAAATGTTGTAGCAGTTGCATACCAGCAGAGCTACCAGTAACGGATTGGCATCGTTCCGGAAGGCTACCAGCCGGTTTTTAGGCGACACAAAACTTATTATCTAAATTTATATTATTCTACAAAGGGGGATCGTGGTTGGCGGGGGAGGCTAGGAGGGATGCGGAGGGACAAAGAAACTCACAGCACGAATGCCACTAAGGTCGGCTCCTAGCCATATCAACAAATGTACCCAACCAAACGTGTTTGTAGTCTTTTGGACCCCAACCAGGGAGTTGTGACCCACCAACCGAGGTCGGCTTTCAAATAAGGGTCTTCATTCCTCTCGACCAAGTCATCGCTAGGTCACCTCTCCTCTTGTTCCATGCACACTTCCGGCGCGCAAACAACGCGCGTCGCGGGAGCCGGTGGGTCGGCATGCATACGACGTGGCCGAGCCCTCGGATCTTGGTGCGTGAAATGACGGTGCTGAGCGGTTCATTTTCTTTTCTTGTGCCGTAAACAAGACGTCGAACACGCTCGTTGCCCACACGATGGTCTCACCGGATGTGAGCCAAGCTGCAAAGGCTCTGGCGGTTGAACGTAACCGGCCTCTTCATGTCCGCTGATCTAAGGGGCCAGGTTTCGCAACCGTACAGTAGGGTCGAACGTACCGCTGCATTGTACACTCTACCCTTCAGAGCGAGACTAATGTCGCGCCGGTGCCATAAGTGGCACCTCGTGCTTTTGTTATATGGTTCGTGATCTCATCTTCGATCCCGAGAACGCTGATACAACTGCTCAGATTGTTGAATTTCTGAACGACTTCTACCTGATTCCTGCCAATGGTCAGCGCTGGAGCGATCCCTTCCAATCTTGGAGGAAAGCTTTGCACTTCGATGATGCAAAGTAAATCCCAAAGCGGTTGGTAACCAGTGCAAATGTGTCCAGTGCAACTTGGCACGTCTGGGAGCAGTCACAGATTTTGACAATATCGTCAGCATACTCCAAGTCAAGTCGTTCTCCTGAGAGCCGCTCCACACCTAAGTTGTGTCCTGTGAATGCAATCTCCATGACTTCGTCAATAGCGAAGTTGTAGAGGAGAGGTGACAGTGGGCATCCTTGTCTCACACCGCTGGAGATATTGAAGGGCGGCGACAGTTTGCCGTAAGCTCTCCCTGTGCCCCTACTACGCGCGGATACTGCTCGGATAATATTTACATATTTCTTGGACACACTTTTCTTGAGTAAACGGTCTCAAAGAGCACATTGATCAATCGAATCGAAAGCACCTTTGGTGTCGAGGAACGCGACGACGTTGGGCCATCAATATATGTGACGGTGCTCCAACAGCTGACAAAATGAACACGTGGTCGAAACAAACACGACCCCGACGAAACCCGGCCTGCTATTCACGAATCTGCCTTTCACGGGTGACAGTCAGTCTGTGAAGGATTACAGCGGCACGTAATTTATTGGCTATGGGGATCATACTGATTTCTCTATGCTTGCCGCATTCCGAACGCAAGCCCTCTTTGCAAATCGGTACAACGGAGTGGCTCCAGTTGGTTGGGACCATTTCCTGCTCCAACAATTTTACGTAATCCGTGTAAATCATCAACAAAAGTAGGGCCCCCGAATTTGAAGAGGGCTGGATGAAGATCATCTGGTCCAGCGGCTTTATTAAACTTCAACAGTTCGATCTCACGCTTGACTTTTGAGCGACTGAGCGGTTCCAAAGGGACAGCCCAAGGAGCAGGACGATCACTGGCCGGTGAGGAATCTGACATTTCCGGCCGATTAAATTGCTTCTCGAAATGCTCAACCCAAACGCTCCAAATGTTTTGACAAGTTGTGAATATTTAAAGCAATTAGTTCCCTTCAGCATCTTGAAAACATGGAACGAAGGCTGATAGATGCATACATTTTGTATTGTCTCCTCAGTACCATTAACAATAACAAATATGCATAGATATAGCTAACAGTGGGTGCATCCAGACAAGCTTAAGGTGCAGAATCAATGACGGAAGCTCACACTTACCTCCAAGACAGCTTCAGGGTGACAAATAATTGTTTGAACACAAGGCTGGCTTAATCCAGCTTATAGCGACAGTCTCAGCGAACCGAAGGAAGCGGGGATTACTGTGAGGTAACACAACTTTAAACACAGCCCAGCTCTCCGGTGACCCGGGTTTAATAGGTGTGTGTCTATCGAGGGAGCCGGCGGTCTACGCGAACGTGGAATCTGACGAGGGTAGGTAATCTGAGCAACTTCACGTTGAACCCATCTTGGCACATGTTCCTTTATTCGGGAAATCAGCGTTCTATTAGTTCTGCCTATGTAACTGTTTCCGCAATCACATACAAATTGGTATACACTGTGAGTGGGCCCCAATAGGCTGAGCTTCCTTCGTTGGAGGTATGGGCAGATTTCGGGTTCGGTTGATGACGACAACTTGTGCAGTATGGTAACTGCCATCTGTAGCCGCAGTTATACGCTTAATTGTCTTCAGCGTAGCTAACTCATTTTTGAAAGGTAACTCGATATACACTTTCTTCTTGGCTACCGTGTTCACCAAGTCCTTTGGCCCTCGTGGTTGGTTGTGTTTCTCGATAAATCTTCGAGGGTAGCCGTTCGCCATTAGTGTTGGTGTAATTACCACTAGCTCATCGTCCAGACAGTCGGCCGAACAAATTCGTCTGGCACGACTAACTAACAAGTGTCCGTTTATACCGCACTGATGTGAAGTGCAGGTACTGACCGGACCAGGTTGATTTTCGTTAAATGGGCCTCTTAAACAATCCATCATCCCTGCGACTTATGAGTATGTCCAGGTATATCAGGCAATTGTTCTGTTCTAATTCCCATGTAATCCGTAAGTTAGCATGAGCACCATTAAACCGTGCTACCAATGTGTGAGTTGCTGCTCCGACGAACAGAAAGTCAAGATATCATCGATCTATCATTTGTAGTAGGGCACCTGGGCTATTTCTGTAGAGATGCTTCTTTCTACCATCAGCATGAAGAAATCAGCGAACACAGGACCTAATGAGCTACCCATTGCTACGCCGTCAATTTGACGGTATGGTGTATCCCGGAAGTGAAAATCGACATTCTCCGTGCACAATAGTAGAGATTCTCGTAGCAATGCAGTCAGAACTGGTAGCGAATAGCCACGGTTTTCAGCTAATTCGTGCACGTAATCAACCGTCTGATGTAGCGGGACGTTGGTAAATAAGGATTCTACATTCAGGGAACATATAACTTTGTCTGACAGCTTGAGTTCATCCAGGTCATCGATGAGTTGAAACGAGTCTTTAAGGCTGTACGGATTGAACTTTTGTTTCAGCGGAGCTAACAGCTTCACTAACCAACGAGCGAGTTTATGCTGGTTCGCGTTCATCTTTGAATGGATTGGCCTGAGTGGCATTTCACTCTTATGTGTCTTTTGGGGACCCATACAACCGTGGAATAGTTCTACCACTCGGCTTCAAACTATTATATATATCACAGTCTATCACGCGGTGGAGAAGAAGCAATCTCAAGTGACGAACTGTGCGCGTTTCGAAATTGGTTATGTCCCCCACTTTCGTGAGCCGTTCGAATTTACTCGCATCGTTGAGTATCGTCCACATCTCATTGTATTTGGTTTTGTTCATGATCACCACTCCTGAACCCTTACCTGGTTTCGTTACGACTACGTCCTTAGCTCGTACTTCACGTAAGGCCTGACACTATCGCGCTGTGATGGCGCATTTTTCATTAACTGACATGGTTTTCACCTCATGGGCGATATCGGTTAACTTGTTTCTGAACCAAATAAGCTTATCAGGGCTGGTTGGTTGGAGCTCCCTAAACTGGTCAAAAAAGTTCCCAAATTGGGCTTCCATAAACAAGCCGTTCAACGTTCTATGGGGGACTTTATAATCAAGTCCAGGTGATAATGCTTCTAATTGCAACGCGTCGAGTTGTACGTTCATGAAATTCATCACGTACTTACTGGGATCACGAGCAATTGAGGGACCAATTCCTGCTTGTTCGTCAGCGAATTTTCTAAACGAACAGAGCGATTTCGTTTCTTACGATCAAGAGTTGATTTACAAAAGTTGGTGCTAACAATCCTGCAATACAGAGACAGATCCTCTACCACGGGTAGTAAGCGTCCATGAGTTTCTGGTAGTTCCGCAAGTCTGGTTTGAGCCGTCTCAAGGTGAGCAGACGCCACACGTTTGAGGTTAGCCACAGAAAGCTTGAGTTTGTTTCTACGGAACACGAAGAGCACTGGACAAGGATAGCGACGCACGAAAATTTCTTTCGATAGAAATGATATCTCCACACGTAAGCACTCCATGTTGCCCCTCAGGCTGACTATGCGATGTAGCAACCTGGCTGTTTCGGTGGGAATTCGTCGTTTCAGAAATTTAAAGTTGTGGATAGAGTGTCCACTCGTCATGAATTATTTCACTAACACCAGGTCTCCTCTTGCCCGTTTCCCATATCAGGCGGAGTAACTTGATGGTTCCCAAGGACAGCGGCCACTTCCCTCTCTGACGCATGAAAAGACCACCAGGATTCTCGGTCTCTCTTCAAGCCAGTACGGAGTTTTCCCCTGAACTCTTTGCGAGTTTCATTGTGCCCTCTTCCAGCCGGAATGTGCCGGCGAGCATCGATAAGTTCCAGGGACCGCGAAGAGACCTAATGCCCATGTTGACTATTAAACTTACCACATATGGATTTGCCTGCTGCTAGTAAAGTCTAGTGAATATGAGACCAGTGAACTTCAATTGCATCCAGTGAGCGCTTACTCAACCCGCATGCCAACTTACTTCGATACGCATTCAGAACAGCTGGCTTCGCCAGTGGACTGGTGTCAGTGTGCTCACAGCGTCGTCTTGGGCGTCCACCAAAACGCATCCGCATGTCAGCACATACAAGTGCATGGTCGGTGTCCACACGTGGGTTCCAAGTGGAGCGACAGTTTTGGACGCAGCCTCTCCAGCGGCGACTGGT